GGGGGGGGAGCCTGCCACTCTCGCCCGCGCGTCTTGTGTTTTTCGCGTATGACCACTTTTTACCCTCTGGAATTTTCTCAGAGTGCGGCAGGCGTCAGGGCGAGAGGGCTATAGCGGTATGCAAGCATCAGGGTGGGGTTTACTGCGAGTGTGACAGAGAAGGACGCAGGAGGAGGAGAGGTGGTGGGTAGCTTTACTGCCGCCCGCGCGCGAGAGGGAGAGAGACACAACGACAGGGAGGGGTACTGAGAAAAGAGGAGGTAAGGCAGGCAGGTGGCTCTCTTTATGGTCCCATATGCAGACGCAAACAAGGATGTATTTATGCGCGGGCAGGGCGGTCCGCGCTGCGCCGTCCTCTTTGGCCGTCCAAGTCGAGATGGGACATGTGTCATGCTAAAGCGCGGCGCAAGAAAAGTAGGTAGGAAAGCGGAGAAGGAGCCTGCTGTAGAAGCAAAGTTTATTTGAGTTATTCTAATTGTATTTTCCAAGCATTTTCACGGCGACCACAGGGCTTTGAAAATATGTCGGGTTTTCTGTCCCTCCTCTTCTATTGCCAGCGACTGTCTATTTTTCAGTGCACTTTTGAGAATACTGGGCTCGGTTGTAAATGTATGACAGTCCTGGGATGAGCCGCACCGCGCGGCGCTACGCCTTGCGCAGTCAAGTGTGGTCCTTTCCATTTAAATGCTAATGTACATCGAGACCGTGACCCTGATGACTGTGAAAGCTACTGGATTCTGTGAACCCCTCCCGACTGCCTTCTCCAGATTTCGTGTTATATTTTGCCCCATTTTCCAGCATGGACTCTGTGAAGGAGGGGGTGCACAGTGTGTACATGCGATAGTATGTGTTCTTTACCATATCCCTCTGGATTTAGCAAGTGGACATAAAAAAGTGCGTGCTATATATGGGCACGTACACGCATGGACGTGTGTACTTCAGCAAGTTCACTCCTCGTTCTTGTGCATGCTTCAGCGCTAACTGGTGCGATTGGCTCACGCCGCCTGCAACTTAGGCAACTGTTTCGCCACTCCCGTTGACTCCCCACGGACCGGCTGGACCGGCCGATGGGGTGACGTCAGCTGGCCGAGCCAGAACCCGGCCCTGATGCGAAACCGACTCGGCCATCTGACAGGCCGTCAGCCAGCGCCAGCAGCCAGTGAGCTGTGAGCAGCCGAGCCGCGTCGGTGCCTGCACGTCAGGTTGTTTACCAACCAAGTTAACCTCAACTTCGCCATGTGTTCTCTGACGGCGGCGCCCGCAAGGTGTGTACTGCTCTGGTGGATGCTCCGAACAATTGTTTTATTACATGATTCTAATGGTTCACTGAACATCAGGGCCGTCGTCGGTCACGGAGACACCGGGCTGTTAGGCTAAAACGCTGCCTAGCCAAACATGGCCATGGCCCAAGGCGCCGTCGCCGCCACACAATCCCGTCCGCCGTCGTCGCCGTCGCGTCGTCGCCGTCCTCAACGCGGCCGTCGCCAAGCCTCATCATCACCACCACCACCATCTATGAAAACTTGGAGAGGTGGGTGAGTCTGGCGCGCGCCTCAATCCCTGGGCCTCAGGGGACTTGAATATTTTTTTCTGTGCACTTTTGGTTTCCTGAATTGTTTATAGTGAATTGTTTTCTGAAGTATGATTCTCTTATTTGGTGCTGCATTGATTGTTGCATACAGGCATTTCAACTGTTTTGTTGAGTTGGTAAAACATTAACAATATAAGACAACATTTGATGCTGTCGGGGCTGCTGTGCTTCTGTGTTAATGTTTTCACTTGCCTTGTGACTTTCTGGCCAGTGTCCGCATAAGTGATTTCCAATCTTGTGATGGTGTAGGTCGCCTGCCTCCCATGGTATTGTTTATGCTAAGTCACTTCAAATAAAATAATATAGCAACACGATTTAAATCGATAACAATTATATTGGTAAGGGAGAGAGGGGTAATGTCAACAGCCCAATTAATATAATTACTTTTAAGGTTCAAGATGTTGCCCTTTTACTTTAAAAGTACAATTTCTCTCCGCTTGTCGCTACCATCCATATAAAATAAAATCCAGTCCTTTCTATAGTACAACAACGTTTCTGCAAGGACCATCAAACCTCAACGTAACTCTCTTTCCGGTCATTCCCTGATCCGACGCCTGAGATGTATGGGCAAACCACATGACATTGCCTCTCGGCGTCCGACAGAGAACGTGAAATGCAGAGTGGACTCTAAAAAACAAAAACAACTAAAAACAATAATTCTTTGATGGCGTGTTAGCTCCCCTACAACTTGACGAGGGTTGGGTAACGGTTTAGGAAAAGATATAGCCAGGGGATGGGTGTGGGCTCAACGCGCCCAGATATAATATGTGGGCACCGGAAGGTCGAGGCCGGGTGGGGCGGGGCGGGCGCTGGAGACGGCGCGACAGCAAGGGGAGCGGAGCCGCCCTAGTCATAAATCGCTCTTGTATCGCGAATAAATATGCCGAGCAGGCGAAGAAGTCCCTGCCTCTGCATGCCACCGCTCGGGTGCCGCCTCCGGGTGCACGGGTCGAGTCGGCCCCGGCGCCAACGTTGGGGTCCGGCCAGCAGCGCCGGGGAGCGGAGGACGACGTCGCCCCAGGGCCGGTACTACTTGTGAGCAGGGGCTGCAGGGCGCCGCGCGCCCGCCGCGACAACCCAATGGGGCGTGCAGGGCTTGGCGGGCGTGTCGCGGTGGAGAAGGGGGGGGAGCAAAGCGTCGGGAGCCCCCGAGGGACCCACAGCTAGCAGCAGCAGCCACAGCAGGAGCAGCGCTTCGCTCCCTGGTCAGCGGGCCAGGGCGGGGCTGCGTGAATCTTGTACGTAGTGTTGCTTTCCGGCAGGCAAGCGCTGTGGGGTGGGGTAGGTTAGGGGACACGACAACGAGGACCGTGGCGTGGCGTGGCTTTACTACCGGGCGCGCCCGCGGGCCGAGCGCCAGCACGCTTGGCGGGGCCGCCCGACTCCTGAGCCGGCCGCCATGTCCGGACCCAGGCCGCCTGCGTCGAGCTGATGCGCGCGTCCCGTCCGTCCCGCTACTTCATGGCTCGGCAGCGGCGCCCGCTTGCTCCCCTGGCGACCCAAATCCGTCGCCGTCGCCGGAATGGACTGCACGGCGGCCGCGGCTACAGCGGGCGGGGGCAGCGGCGCTGACGGGCGACCTTCAGCGACCGAGTCGGCCGGGGCGCAGCTGGGCCCGACGGGTTCGAGTCGATGCTACTCGAGGCAGGCGGTCCTGGAGCGGCCCGCGGGGGCCACAGGTGTGCGATACAAGCGGCGCACCGCGGTACGTGGTGGCGTGGCGCGGAGTAGCGGTCTGAGCCCCTACCTGTCCGTCCCCATCGGCACCACCCCGGGGCCGCGCCGAGGACGTGCCGTACATTTACTTCCGCCGGAAGTCGTCGCGCTGAGCGATTGATTGGCCTGCTGGGTGACTGGGAGGAGGAGGTGGAGGAAACCGGTGGCTGGGG